ACCAGTGTAGGGGGGATTAAAAAGAACCTTAAAATTAAATATTTTGTAGTGTAATCAAGCAGCCTGTCCAGTCGAATAGGAATGATGAGAACTATTGTATAGAGCAGTTACCAACAATGGAAAGAAATTGCGTATTTGAAAAAAAAAAAAAAAAAAAAAAAAACCAACCACGTGCCGGCTATTTTCCCATACCTTGGCAGAGACTTTAGAAGTAGGTTTAAATGTGTTTTTGTTGATCACTTACCAGCAGAATATAACAAAGAAATAGGTGTGTTCCCAAGCATAGCTCAGAAGGTTAGCTTGGAATCTTCCCTAAATGAGTTTTCTTTCCTTGCTTATTTTAGCTGTTGCTGGTCATGGAGGAGCCATGAGGTCAGAAGTGTAGTGCCTTGTCACATTCCTCTGGAGCAGGTTCCTGAAATGAGGACACATATTACTTGGATAATTCTACAACCTCACATTTCTGTAAGCACATTTGAAAAAGTTAATTAGGAATAATATATACAGTTTGGCAGGTAGTTACTGAAACAGCTCTACAGTTTTATGAAATATATTAGATTTTGGTACACAAATAATATAATCATTTAATGGGTCAATTTCAGTTACGCTTTTCTATTTGGCACCTTGAAAATCATTTTCTCTAACATGGAGACATTAGTCTTTTTCATATTCCTATATGTATTTCAGGTTCATGAGTAGAACTGAAACTAAATTTAATAAATCTTTTCTTCATTTTCAGCCAAATGTCCTCTATTTGATGGATATTAATGGCAAAACAATGCGTTGCTATCACAAATATTAAAAATGGAACAAAATAGTTTGTAGCATGATCACAATATTTAGAAAGGACTTTGAGTTCCTTCAGAATGCAATTTGGAATAGAAACAGCTGCCAGCTCACTATTGTTATTATTATTAAATAGTTTGAGATAACACATCTGGAAGGTAAAGTCAAATAAGATCTTAGTCATGTCTTATATAAACTTCTAAAACGAGAGCTGTGAAAGTCAAAGCTGAAAATGCTCACCCTAGTCCAAGGTTCAGCATTCAGTGTGGATGTTACATAGTACTTATAATGGGCGGGTTTGTAAGTAAATAGTGTCTGACGTAATACAGATCAATGACAGCTATGAAAAGAGAGTGGGGTCTTACTTTTCCCATTTGCTTTTCATCCTTTAAAAATCAATCTTAACCTTTCTTGTACTTTATGATAAGTCTTAGGGACAGGAGTGGCAATGTGTGCAGACTACTTCCTGCTCTGAGCACGGACAGAGGGTGTGAGTTCTGTACAAGACTTCTTCTGCCAGTTTATCTTTTTCAGAGCACCTGAAGAAGAAACAGTACACAAGGTTAAAGACCCAACAAAAGAAAAGGATAAAGACCTCCTCCGTGTGTGTGTGTGTGTGTGTGTGTGTGTGTGTGTGTGTGTGTGTGAGAGAGAGAGAGAGAGAGAGAGACAGAGACAGAGAGAGAGACAGAGACAGAGAGTACACATGTGCACGTGCATGTGTGTATGTGAAGAGACTATATTTACTCTCAAACACTGGAGGTAAATTTTCCTGAAAGAGGCCAAGGCCAACTCCAGGAAGCCATTTGTGAATGATTACTGCTTGGCACCAAAGCAGTGTCTGACACACTTGCCTTGTTCTACTGAGAGATGAAATGGTCAAACATGGCTCTCACTGAATGTTAACGTAGACTTTCCTGATCTACCCACTTTTCTATGTTGATCTACATTCAAGGTTACAGTTCAGGAAGCATTAAAGGAACCTTAGTGATTTAACAAAGTATGGCATATTAATTTAACTGTAACTTTTGCAATAGTTAGTTTATCGTCAATAACTGGGGGGATGGCTGTCTTCTCTGAAGGGACCTAAGCACAGAACTAAAAGAGAAACAACACGTATCAGTGTGTGGTGTGTGTCTGTGTGTGCGTGTAAGAGACAGACAGACAGACAGACAGACATGCAGTTCCTTTATTTCTTCCACAAATATATTCACTAATGTGAGCCTTTGAGTATTTTGACAAATATTTTTTCCCAGCCTTCTGAACACCTTTTGGTTGTGAGTTTAGCCCGAGGGATACTAGTAGAGTCAAGGTGAAGTCAGCCTAAGAAATGGGAAGTAGGATCCTGAAATGTGTCAGACAAAAGACCCATAATCAAAAGGCAGGAAAAATGAGGAAGGCAGGGGAGACTATACAGAAGTCAGTCAAACCGGAAGGGAGGGGCATGCTGAGGAGAGAGCCGGGGAAGGTTACACATATTTTTCAAGTGGACACAAAACTCCAAGGAAATACCAAGGCTGCGTGTATCAACAAGGATGGCAGAAGCTGACGCCGAAATGCTGAAAGTATTCAGAATCCATTGTATCTTAACTAGAACAATACATCTTTTGCTTGATATTTACTAGGGACATCGCTGCAGAAAACCATGAGCAACATGCAGTGAGGGGAGATATATGCACACGTAAGCTCACTTTGTGCCTAGGAGGAAACAGTTACATCCCTGAGATTTCCTCCTCAGCTTCCGCAGCACCGCCCCCTTCCTACCCCCACCCAGATATGAATGAAGTTTCCCCTTTTCCTGTTCTTCGAAAAATGATGTCTGAGCAACCTAGCCAGTCAGCAAGCATTAATGGGTTAAGAGGGTTGGAAACTCATTTGATTTCATAGTTGACTGTTTGCATGACTACAGGTTAAGCTGTGATTAGATTTCCATTTATGGCTCCCTCATTTTCAGGCATTTAAAAATAACTCAACCCTAAAAGTTCTTTCTAAATTGATTGAACTGAAGCTTGCCATTGAGTCATAGATAACCCTCAACCTCAGAATACACAAACAAAAACAAAAAAAAGGAAGAAAGAAAGAAAAAAATATCGAAGTTGGGGGATGGCAACCCACTGGTAATTTTTTATACTGCCTTTTTATTCTGGAAAAAAAAAGAAAACCCAGTCATTTGGGGAAATGAAAGCCAACAAATTCATGTCTGCCTTGTTGAATCATCTTTAAATCACTCTGCAAAGACCTAAAATAAGCTAAAACATTCAACTCCTGTGCTTGCAAGTGGCTTAGCCCCCTCAGCATTCACATATACACACATCACACGTTCCTCTGCTTATAAATAGATAAGAATTCAATGGCCTTATGGATGTTATATGAGACACATTTTCAAAGGGGGAAAATGGATGTTTTATGATGATCTCGTCTCTGAGGAAAATCCAAATGACTTTAGGAGACTTGATAAAATATCCTTATTCCAGCCTTAAATTCAAGGCTCTTCAGGCTTCTTCCCAATTTGCCAATTCACTGCTGTACAGTCACCGACACCTGTGAGGCTTCCCCCCAGCATTCAGCAGGTAGTGCAGGAGTTCAGCAGGGAGCCCCCGTGGCGGCATCTCATTAGACCTCCAGCACAATGCTGGTATTTTTCTTTCCACCCAGGCTCCTCCAAAGAGGAACTGCTCTCTTGACCCATCCTGTGACTTCCAGATTCCAATTTCCTAAAGCACTACAGCCTCTTATTATTGCATGGGGAAGATTTAAAGTATTGCTTTTCCTTGTGCCGAAGAACACAATGATGCTTTCAATAAAGTTAAGATCAAAGTATGCCATTACTGCTACAGGCATATCCTTTCATATGCCAGTGTTCTGTCATGTGGGAGGTCATCTGTTCAGTGATTTTTCATTGTCACAGAGGTGTGAATACTCACCAAAATCGCGACTAGTGAATTGGGAGCAGATGGCAAAAGCAAGATAGGAAGTTGTATGATCAAACCTTCCTCATTTGGGTTCCGCTAATGAAGAGCAGAAGTCAGCAACAATGTCTCCATTCTTTGCACCTCGACAACATACCCTCTCTGTCATTGGAACAGCCCTGTCTTCCTAACGGAAAGACGATAAATGGTGGGATTTGCAGTCCATTCTTTTCTGTCCTCTTTCAGTTGCCCAAGATCCATTTTTGTCATTGCTGAATTGTTAATGCTTCTAATTGATCTGTCTTATGGTATTAATTTTTTAATTATGCCATGGTTTATAAGTAAGTTTTCAGAAGCCCAAAATGCTGAAGACCTAAAGATGGTAATAAATGTATATTCTTACTCAAAATGATGAATTCCAACTAACAGAAGTCTGGATTCTTGCTTTGACTTCCTCCTTCAAAGGGCTTATCATTGCCTTTTGTGCACAATGCTTATTTAATTTACGCACACACATGAGCCCACACGTATCTGCGTACTGTGTGATAGACTACTCTACTCTTTGTAAAGGTGCTATGACTGGCCTCTTCTGCAGGTGAGAAAACTCAAACTGAAGAGAGTGCGTTTGTCCGAGACTCCGCTGATGGCAGTGCTGGAATTTATGTGGAAACGTCTGGGACTCAGAGTTAAGCTAGGTCTTCACTGAGGCATAAAGGTGTTGTCTGGGAATTTGTTGACATCCTCTTTTCAGGGTAAGTAATTCATGGGACCAAGCACTCGGCTCTGGTAGTGATGACACCGTTCCCACCAGGTAATGGGTTGGAGTGCTATGCTCACTTCTAGGGCACTGTTTTTAGGAAGTGGAGAGACACTGAATAAGGATCAGGAGACCTCTCTGCCACCAGCGTTATCACATTTCCCTGACTTTACTGTCCCCCACTGAGCCTATGAAAATCCAGGCTTAAAGCATCTTTATTAGGCAGACACTTTGCCTAATCCATCTTTTTATTTCCAGTGCTTAGCGTAGTTCTTGACTCATAGTAGAAGCTCAATAAATATTGATTTGAAATGATGAATAAAATTAGGCGATAATCGAATAAAGGTTATCATCCTAAGCCAACTCTTCTGGTTTTTCATGTGGAATAAATTAATAGGTCTCATCCATTCACCAGAGATTAAATTCTAGAATGTATCATGTCTTGCCAAACTCCTGTACCATTTTTCCCTGTCTCCCAAATTTTCCTGGTTATTGCTGACATTTTACCTATTATAACATTCCCAACAAAGAAAACAGGGGAGACAATCTGTTGTTAATAGCTTTTGAAGTGAATCAATTTATTGTCATAGTAACCAAATTTACAAAACAGATCAATTAGGGAAAGATTTAAATTCAAGCTTAGAAGAGAATGTTCCTAGGGAAGAAAATGAATTATTCTATGTTTCAGGAAACTGACAAAGGAGATTCTTTCTGTCTCACATGAATTTCACAATGTAAAAAAAAAATATGCAACCTTTCCAGATTCCAAACGGGATACAAGAGCAAAGCAGGACAAAACAGGCCAGTGACATCCACACACCCAGCAATGTCTGCCTGGCTCTCTGCTGTCCCTAGGCTGTAGGACTACTTCTTCATCTACACAATCCTTCAGATTCCAGAAAATTACTCCTAGGCTGACAAGAGCCGTGCATCAATGTATACATGGAACTGGGCATGCTTTTTCTTCATAGTGACTTCTGATATATAATAATAATAGTCTGTTTCTCCATCCATGCAGAGGCCATATCTGTTCTCATCTTCACATATACTCAGGGATCATCGCAGCATCTACATAGGAAATGTGTCCTTTATTCAAAATATGGCAGGCAGTATCCTCAGAAATATTTGCATTGTATGTACTAACCATTTGTTACTTCTTTTAATGTGTCTTTTAAAAGAAAAACATCACTGAGGGCAACATATTAGAATATGACATACATTAGAATGTATGTCGTAATTTTTACCACAAGCTCAAATACTGTGGTCCAATTATCTGGTGTCAAGATTGGACGGCAAAGATTTATGCCGAGATAGAATTTAGATCACTACATCACTACAAGTAGTCTTGCTCATGTGACATGGCTTTTTAACAAAAACTGATGGCTTCTTTATGCTGCTGAAAACAGCCAGAGCAGGCTAGGCATGGCAATGCAGCACCTGGGGTAAGGGAAGGCGGAGGATGGAAAGTTCAAGGTCAACCATCCTTGGCTAGTGATGTGTCAAATCAAATAAGGAAGGAAATGAGGAAAGGTGGAGGCAGTGGAGAAAGGGAGGAGGCAAGAAGAAAGGACAAACAGCAAAATAAAATATCCAGAGGGGTGGCCAATGTGCCTGAGAGACGGCATCGTGACACATGGGTACCAGCCTTCACCACACTGTGAACAAAGTCAGGCGTTACCGGCTTCTTCAGACCTTCCACTTGAGAAAAAGCGACTTGCAATGAATTTGGAGTGTGAATAATTTTATTGTAAAAGTCCCCTTGGATCTGATTTAATTCATAAGAAAGCAAGAGTGCTATATAGAAACTAATCATTCATATCACACAGCACCATCGATGATGATGTACAAGTGTGTCCAGATGATTTAGTGAGAATGGCATCCCCGAGGTGGGTTCCCAGAGTGCTCAGACAAGAGGTCAGATTTTTTTTTTTTTTTCGGAAAGGAACTTGAGGTCTGTTTTCATTCTTAGCATGTTTAAAGCTCAAAATGTGGCTAAATGTCTTTTCTCCTGGCAAAAAGTTACTTCCTTAGAAGGCTGAATAATCAAAACAGCAGACGAAGCAGGTTCGGAAAAGTCAGATCCATAAAGGCCCTCTTAGAGAGCTGAGAAATGAGGTAAAGGTGCCTTTACTACACTCACCCATCCTTGCATCCTGCTCTGTTGACATTCAAAATTCAGATTGTCCCGTCAGCAACTGGGGCCACTTGCCCACACTCATTAGTGAAAGGTAAGGGGGCCTGATTTGTAGCCCCATCAAGGATACACAGCAAAGGAAACTCTTCCCACTCGAATCTAACTGATTTGCCCATAGAAGGATTTGTGAACGCTTTGGTTTTCACTGAAAGTCTAAACTCAGGCTCTGGCCAAACCACAACAAAGCTGTGTTGTATCCTTGGCCCATCACTAAGGCCTTCTATTGAAACAGGGTCTCATGTAGTCCAGACTGGCTTCAAGTTTGCTATGCCAATAAGAAGGACCTAACTTCCGACTCCTTCTGGTTGCTGGGACTTCAGGCATGTACAACAACCATACCCACTTTTCTGAAGTGCTGGTGATCAAACTTGGGCTTCATGCCTGCTAGACAAGCACACTGACAACTGAGGTACATTCCATCCCCTACACCTACTTCCTTCTTCTGCCTTTATTCATTGAAAGAAACCCCTGTATGTCATTGTGGTTGCATTTACTCCAGTCCAATCACAGCTCTGTGGGCTGGCAAGCTTTCTCTGTGTTTCCTTTGCACGCATCTCCCTCCACCATCCTTCCCATAGAATGTATTTCTTAGAATTATGACCTAAAACTGTCTCTAGGATTCAGAATATTTGCATGCTGACTCAGTGAAGGAGGTCCTGGAACTAACTGCAGTGAGGTCTCACTCTCCTGAAGACACTATACCTAACAGCTAATGATTTACAACCTCAGCATTTTAGGAAGTAGATAATGGTCAGTTGCTCAACATCAGAAAAAAAATCGCAAGCAAGGCGTGATATGCAATGCCTATAATCTCAGCAACTGGGATGTCGAGGCAGAAGGATCATGAGTTCCAGGCCTGTCTGGGTAAGAACATGATGATCTGACCCAAGACTATAGTATTGTAAGACTTCTTGATGAACCATCCTAAAAAATTGGTTTCAAATTCCATTCACTATAACAACATGAATTACATCCAATTAAATCCAAACTTGTTAATCTCATCCTAACCACGTACTCTATTATTCCATTTGGTCACATTCTCTTTGATCTTGATTCTGTCACTCTTTATATTAAGCCCCCATTCAAGTGTCTTGTCACTTGAAATTTTGGGGCCTTATATTTGATTATACCTACTCAGACAAGACAAGGAGTAAATCCCAATTCACATTGTGTGCTTTCCTTATTCTGGTGTTCATCTGGTTACTCTACTGTGGAGACAGCTTTTCAATCAAAGCTGGCTCCCTCCATCCAACCATACTCTCACAGCCCCTCTCTTATCCACCAGAATTACATATGAGAAATGTTAAAACCCTGTCTAAAGAACTTCCTTCATAATTTCTTGTGATTTAATAAAAATATTTGAAAATAATAGCAATAAGAAGAATCTGGAGATGTTATAGTGGAATTTCCAAGTCATCACCAATTTTATTCCTAAATGCTCATAAACCAGACTTTGAGTAACCAATCTACTGTTTCCCAAGGCTTTGAATCAAGAATTCTGAATGTGAATCTTCTCTTTAAGATGTCGAATCTAGTGTCCTACCTATTAGAAACTTAAAAAAAATCTTACGCCACTTTTTCCATTTTTTCATTATTCTTCTGAGTTCAACCACATCATTTCTTAAATCTCTTTGAATTAAAGTTACTGTTCCTGGAGAATTGTATTTTGTAGCTTCTTGGCACACATCTCATCTGCACAACTTGTTACTCTTCTCTACTCCGGGATTCTTCTATTACCTCTAATACAAAGAATGTTTCCATGGACAGAAAAAAGTACGATAGTTCGTTCTCTTTGCCAATCAGGAACGATACAGACTGTCCTGTGTACCAGACCAGCTCCCAGTCACTATTTTTTCTGAGCATACAGTAGAAAGTCCAGAATGTAACCCAGCTAAGATGATGATGGACTGCATGTGTGTATTTTACATTAAACTCCCCACACATACGCTGCTTCTTGTTCTAAAAGGAAGGCTTTTCTTGCATTCAGAATTCCATGTGGTGTTCTGCATGCTGTCTTGTGTATCACACGTCTCTAAAGCAAGCTTCTCCCACTTTTCACTTCCTTAGGGGCAAGACAAAGTTAAAAGGGACCTTGCTTTTATTGTTTCCCCCCATGCTTTGTTTCATAGTGTGACATTTAGAGAAGAATGGAGGCTGCCCTTAAGTGACACAATGTTAGACTAAGTCGATTAGGAGTATTCTTCTACAACCTTTAAGGCCAATCTGGGCAAGCTGAGACCCTACCTCAAAAAAAAAAGAAAAGAAAAGAGAAAAGAAGGAAGGAAGAGAGAAAGAAAGAAAGGAAGAAAGAAAGAAAGAAAGGAAAGAAAGAAAGAAAGAAAGAAAGAAAGAAAGAAAGAAAGAAAGAAAAGAAGGAAAAGAAAAGAACCAACCAAACAAAACAAAATAGGAAGCCAAGGAGATAGCTCAGTGTTGCCCAACAACAACCAAAGTTCAGATTCCCAGCATTCATGTAAAAGAATGCTGCATTAGCACATATCTGTAATCACATCACTCCTGTAGTGAGATGGGAGATGGAGACAGGAAAAAGTCTCCACACTCATGGACAAGCTTTACCAGAGGCTACAGCACAGCTACAGAAACATCAAAAGAGCCTCCTTCAAATAAGGGAGAAGGTAGGAATCAACTGCAAATATTGTCCCCTGAGTTCCAGAAGAACTCAGTGGCATTCATACATCAGCACACACACACACACACACACACACACACACACACACACACACACACACACACAAACACACTATACAGCAACATGCACAGAGAGAGAGAGTACATAACACCATAACACACACATACACAGTCACATACACACTAAAGTAGCCAACAAAATAAAGATTTCTGATTGTTAGCTGTTTTCAGAAAACTCAACACTTAAAAGTTTTGTTCTAAAATAGAATAGACTCTTTATAGGGCTGTTCTCCCTTGCTGTTTTGTTTCTGGTTCAAACACAGAGGGTTTCCTGGAAGTGCCTTGTCATTACATCATACAATTTGCACTATTGGGTAATAATCTAACCCTGTCAACTGCGCCCCAACTAACTGCCAGCGGACGATGTGCAAAGCACTTGGACTAACTCCTTAGGGCACTTTTCTCTGCTGATATTTAGATTATGAGATTGGGCTTGACTCTCTTTTAGTTTTGTTTGGTAATTTTTCCTCCTTAAATACTATACACTTCTGCCCATTCTCTTCTTGCTCTTTTCTAACTGTTTTAGTAAAGAATCTTTTGGACTCTTGCAAAACTGGCTAAGAAAAAATAAAAAAGGTTATGTGCCTGTGTGTCTGTGTGTCTGTGTGTGTGTGTGTGTGTGTGTGTGTGTGTGTGTGTGTGTGTGCAGCTAATAGTCCAGCAGGAAAACCGGGTTTTCACAGGCCTGTGGTCTCTGGCTCCACCTCCCTGAAGTTCCTCAGCCCTGACCTCAGACCTCTAAGACAGCTTTGCCCTTGAAGCTGCCTTCCTTCTTACCTAACACCTAACCCGGGGAGCCCCTCTCACTGAGGCAAGCTCTCCAAGGCCCAAGGCTTCACCCTGATTTGTTTATGCCTCACTATGCTGAATGTCAGACGTGGTCTCTGATACAGGGTAGGTGCTCTTGGCAGTCAAATTTTGAAGGAATAAATGAGATCTTGCCACAAGGCCTGTCCTAGACTGAGAGTTTCGTGGGTATCTCCTAAAAATATATAGCTAAATTAGGACTGGAACAGTGGGGTTTTCACAGTTTCATTTGTTCAACTGCTTTGAATTAAATTTTTTTTCCAAGCTCCCAACCTCTTGGCTGATGGGACTTTGAGGCTTAATTCTTGTCGCACCTCCCACCTCTCTAGTCCACACAGTGAAACATGCTCACCATCAGCCGGACATCTGTTCAGGAAGCAGACCTTCTCACCCATGTTTTCTGCAGCCCCTGTGTGTCCTGGATCACAGTAAACAACCAAGCACTTGACAAGGCTGCTAGTCTTGGCCACCACCATTCCTGCCGTACCCTTATAGACACTCGCGCCAGATGCTGATTCCACATCTCACACTCATTCTCCATCTGAGGCTTTTCATCTCACTGGCCTTTGTCATCCTGCCCCAGCTAAGGAAACATTAACTCCCTCAGAGGCCCCCACTTGTACCATCCTCATTGGAGGTACTCTTAATATCTCTGTGGAAAACTGTAATTCCCTCGACAAGTCTGTTCTTAGGACGAATGTGAACAAAGATGCTAAGACTCTTTCCAAAATTAGTAGATTATCCTTTTTATTTCATTAGTCTGTGTTATATAAGCTGTTCCTCAAAATTAGGGCAAAAGGAAACTAGGCCATTCTGGCCCTTACTCAGTAAGTTCATGGCAGACTTTGTGTGTGTGTCCATCTGCCTCCTACATGTCCTCCATTTTCTGGGTCAGTACAAAATGTGATGTGGCCTTTTGCTCTCATATCTTTTACTTTTCTTTATATATTCTTCCTGATTTTACCAGAGGGAGCAATATTAAGTACATCCAGCCAATTAGCTTGGGAGAAAAGCCCGTGACTTGTTCTCACCCAGCTCAGCACACACGACAGCATTAATGGACTTCTCTAATCTAACCAGTGAGCAGTACTTTGACTGGTAGCTTGTTTGGCGGGTGTTATCATTTTTTCTCCCAGTCTAGGAGCTGTTAGAAGCTATCATAAGTTTCATTCTAACCTTCTGATGATGTACAAATATACTGCAATGTTCAGGCACAGACAAGAAAAGAATCTTGCATGTCCCATCATAATATTCTATCAAAAAGTATCAAATCTTTAACATAACCTTTATCCCAAAATAATGATCACTAAAACCATTAAAAATTTATCTTGTATGCCTTCAAGTCAAGCATGTAGTGTATGAAGTTAGTGCTTAATGACATTGAATGTATTTTAAACAATAAACAATTAATTCTTTGAAAGACTTGGTTGTTGACTTTTAAAGTTGTGACAATTCTGTAGAGACAAGGAAGAGTAGGCAGTGATCTGGTCAACCAAAGCCAGTGAGAATTTTTAACCATGTGCCCAAGCTCCCTAATCTCTAGAAATGAGCTGAACGGTCTGTGCATGCTCAGGCGCTTCACTGGCTACAACAAAAAATAAGAGAGAAATTAATGTCGCTCAGGGTGACAAAGGAGGCAGGATACTTACAGACATCATCTGAGAAGTAGCTGTTGACCTTCTTCCCTTCCCCTTATGCTCGAAGAGGTTTTAGAGGAGCTTTTTGGTACTGCTCTGGTACTTCTAGCATGGCCTGGGGGTAGAAAGAATTCAGAGAAAGAAAGGACAGGTAGATAACACTTCTAAGTTCAATGGAAATTTTAAATGTTCAATTCAGCTTTATTTAACACAGAAGGGATAGCTGCTCTCCCTGTTTTTCTTTATTATAACCTCAGCTCAAGCTCTATGTTCTTCATGTTTTTATTTTTCAACATGTAGAAATTCTTTGAGGTGAATACCAGTGACTGCAGTAATACAGTGTACTCGAGGTTTCTATTAAAGTTTGGCTAGCACCTTTCAGAAAGAAAGAGGCTCTGGATGCTGCTGTGAAGATTTAAGTCCTCTAAGATAAGATGACCTCCTTCATTAGCTCATTTCTTCCATCTTCTAGGTTTAGAAAAGTATGAATAGTCTTTAGCCTCACTCTAAAACCCACTTGAAATTACCTTGCATACAGTAAGGCAACTAAATTTGAAGTTTAAAATAAGACAATCCTTGCAGGGAAAATCAGCCACTTATCAGTAGTGTTCCATGCAGCTCATTGGAAATTCAGAATTTGGAACACAAATTTAGAGTATTGAACATGGCATTATTCATTGCCTGGCACCGAGTCACACGAGGCAGTTAGCCAAACAAGCTATCTCTCTACTTACAGGTGAAACAACGGTTTGGAGAATCTTAAAAATTTGAAAACATTCATAAATCAAAATAGGAGGTTTTCTAAGGGGGGGAGGGAACACTCTGCCAAGTTAAACAAACTAAGGAAGGAAACAAGCCCGCTGTTAAAACGGTTTTCATGACAGACACTTACACTTCTTCAAACAATATCAATTAGTGTCTTTAGAACAGACTTTCCAGAGATGATATTTCAATCAGCATATTTTCTGGATGTAAAGAGCTTCCCTTCGTGGTTTGGGGCTGTAGAAAATAAGAGAACGGCTCGCAGTAGCTTTGCAGACTGGTGGAGCTCGTCCCTTAGACAAAAACTATCTAAACACATGAACAGGCCTGAGAACTAGAGCACCCTTGGGTCCCCTCAGGATCCCCACCTGTCAGCGGCAGGACCCCTTAGTATGTGGAGGTTCAGATTCCATACACACGGTTTCTTTGCTCAAAGGAGTTTTGGCTTCTTAGGGGTAGCCACTGTTCTCCTTATCTTCTAAGGAATATTCCTTCTTGTCATCTGGTTAAGAGAATGTATCCGAAGATGCATGAAAAAATATGAATCCTAAAGGAGACAAAATCAGAAGACAGGTTCTCCCTGGATGAGTCAGCTTCTATGCCCGGCTTTACCACCAAATGCCTACAGGGGAGTGATCCAAGAAAATGAGTGAACCCTCAGCATGAGGGGTTCCAAAGACCAAGGTGGTACCAGAGAAGACTCCTGGGCCCTGGGGAGAAATTTAAATTTGATGTATGGGAAGTTGATTAGACAGTGCAGCTGAGATGTGTGATGGTGCATGTGGGGTCGGGCTCTGAATGAGTCCCAGAGTTACACCAAAGATGCAAATAAAAAAGAAATCAGTCTTTAAGTTAGCTGTTTCCTTGAATATCTGGTTAGGTAAAGCCTGAGTTGTGCACAGTACTGGGTTTCATTCAGGTTTATGTCTCGATTAGCAAGTTATATCATCCATGTCCGAAAGCAAAGTTCTAACTCTGGGTCCTCCACAAACTGTCTGCAAAATGAAATCGCTAAGACCCCTCTTATCGCATTCAAGATTAGAAATAAAGCATGCCTTCTCTCAGGTCAGTACTCCACATGTTCTCAGTGACACCAAAACCAAGCAAACAGAGGAAAAGAACTGCTAAGCATGCATATTATGCTTTTTGCTTTCAAGAAATTACAAATTAACCCCTAGTTCAGCTTGCCCTATTCACGGCCTCTGTGGGCAACCCCTCTTTTTCCAATGTATGATCCCATTTATTCTTCAGCAATGATAGCTGCAAACTGGCTTCCTTGCAATGCTTTACCTGCTCTACTCAGTTGACCTGGTATCACCTCCAGCTTGATCCATCCTAAGATCCTCCAGGACACGGCAGTACTTACCACATGACTTACTTTGCTGTCTTTCTGAGGTGCTAAGAACTAAGTTTCTGAGACTTTGATTGGCTGGACTTTCTTACATTCTGTGTTGAGGATTGACAGATTTGGTGAGGATGGCTTTCTAGAGTGAGAATTCTTCTTCTTTGGGATTTGGAAGGTAGCATCTCATTGTCGTGGGGCTTTTGAGAACGATGCTCGCCGTTTCTATGCCTCCTCCTTTCTTTCTTTGTGACCATATAGTCCACTCATTTGCACATTTCTCTGTAGAGTCTTCTTAGGATTTTTCCTTTTAATTCTGCTGCTCTGAATTTCATAGACTATTGTTCTGGCATTTTATATTTGTATGACTCCCCCCCGCCCATAGCCTGGTGAAGACTTGGTAAGGCTGGTAGATCGAGATGCTACTATCCAGGGCTAGAATGATGGTTCAGTGGTTGAGAGCACTGGCTGTTCTTCCGGAGGATCCAACTTCAATTCCAACCACCTACACGGCAGCTCACAACCATATGTAGCTCCAGTCCTATTGGATCCTCCAATGCCCTCTTCTGGCCTCCACAGGCACCAGGCATGCATGTGGCGAATAGACATATGCAAGAAAACACATCTAGAGAACAAAAATAAATCTTTTAAAATGGATATTATCCTTTGGTTCTTAAGAATGTTCTTTTAGGTCTTCTCCTGCGTCTCCTTAGAATGCAAAATCCAGTATCTCTGTATTGTCTTCAACTCTAGTCCAATCCCCTTACCAGCTGTCTTCCTTCCTTCCTGTTTTTGTTTGTTTGTTTTGCTGTCTTTTACATTACAACTTTATCTCTTGGTCCTTTTCTTTTTTAGCAAGTATTTAAAAACTGCTTGAAATCATCTGTGGGACATGGGTGGGACTTGTCCAATCGTGAGCTTCAGTAAGGGGGACTGACTTGAGGGTTATTTTTGCTGACTGCCAGGGCTGTGGAAATCTCACAGGTCTGTTGGTCATTTTTCTCTTGAGTGGCTCCTTTGCTTGGAGAAAAACTCCTTTCTCTCTTGTCTGAAAGAGAGCTGCTGCTGGTGCTGTGGGAGGTGAGCGTGGAGAAAGGGGCCAGGGGTTGCTTTTTCAGCATGAAGCCCTCACTTAATCCCCCTGTGTTTATGTGACACCTACCCTCCCTCGGCTCTGCCTAATGGCACAGATTCTACATCCTCTGGGGCACCATTCCCAGAAACTAAATCTCTAGTCTTAGGCTTGGATGAAGGAGAAATAGAAAGAATGTTATCATTTGATTTAAAGCTATAAGCAAGCCAACACTGAACTCATGCCTCTATTCTTACCTTCAGAAATCCAGACTCCCTCCAATGCCTGACTCCAGACTCCTCCAATGCCTGATTCCAGACTCCTCCAATGCCTGATTCCAGACTCCTCCAATGCCTGACTCCAGACTCCTCCAATGCCTGACTCCAGACTCCTCCAATGCCTGACTCCAGACTCCCTCCAAAGCCTGACTCCAGACTCCTCCAATGCCTGATTCCAGACTCCTCCAATGCCTGACTCCAGACTCCTCCAATGCCTGATTCCAGACTCCTCCAATGCCTGACTCCAGACTCCTCCAATGCCTGATTCCAGACTCCTCCAATGCCTGATTCCAGACTCCTCCAATGCCTGACTCCAGACTCCTCCAATGCCTGACTCCAGACTCCTCCAATGCCTGACTCCAGACTCCCTCCAAAGCCTGACTCCAGACTCCTCCAATGCCTGATTCCAGACTCCTCCAATGCCTGATTCCAGACTCCTCCAATGCCTGACTCCAGACTCCCTCCAATGCCTGACTCCAGACTCCTCCAATGCCTGACTCCAGACTCCTCCAATGCCTGACTCCAGACTCCCTCCAATGCCTGACTCCAGACTCCCTCCAGTGCCTGACTCCAGACTCCCTCCAATGCCTGATTCCAGACTCCCTCCAATGCCTGACTCCGGACTCCCTCCAGTGCCTGACTCCAGACTCCCTCCAGTGCCTGACTCCAGACTCCCTCCAGTGCCTGACTCCAGACTCCTCCAAAGCCTGACTCCCAGACAGACTCCCTCCAATACCTGACTCCAGACTCCCTCCAATGCCTGACTCCAGACTCCTCCAAAGCCTGACTCTCAGACAGACTCCCTCCAATACCTGACTCCCAGAAGGACATAAAGTAAGTTCTACTTGTCCCTTGTCCCTTGTCGGCCTTCACACCACTTCTACAAACACTTAACTGCCAACCTTTTCTACTCAACCTAGTCTAGTCTCTTACCCCTTACTTAGCTGCTTTGCAGCTCTTTCCAGACATGACTTACTTCTGCCATCCCCTCTCACAGTCTCTGGTGTTTTGTATTTATATCTGTCCTACCATGTATTGAAGTTCATATAGAAAATAGAAATAGACGCAGATAGTCAATTTACCAATTCAAATGAGAAATTTGGGGTTCTTTGTCAATAAGTCTAGCAATGTCATAACTCCAGAGTTAAGAGTTCCATCTCTCATGATCCTGTGTGACTGCACTGTGTATATGAGAATCTGGTTGTGACCAGTTTACTGTGTTTCAGCCCCACTAGTCACTGGCAACATCATTACTGTAATTGATAACTGTTCTTGTGCTGAAGAAGATGTCAAAAAGACCATGTTTGTACAGATGCTGCATCAACCACAATGCTTGTGAAATATCATCACCACATCACCCTCAAAGGGTAAACTAAGCCGGGCAGTGGTGGTGCACGCCTTTAATCCCAGTACTTGGGAGGCAGAGCCAGGCGGATTTCTGTGAGTTCGAGGCCAACCTGGTCTACAGAGTGAGATCCAGGATGGGAACCAAAACTACACAGAGAAACCCTGTCTCAAAAAACCAAAAAAAAAAAAAAAAGTGGTAAACTAAACTTATATCTACTCCCTGGAAATTCTAAATGGAGCACTTGCCCTGGCTTCTCCATCAGGTATCACACTACCCAGTGGCAGAGACAATAGCATTAAGTTGACCAAGAAAAGAAATTATAAACTACAAAATGTCACAATCTATATCCAAGATAGATATCTAAGTGCAGTAATATGCTAGGTGTGGTTACTTATTTCTATAATCCCAGCACTCAGATGAAAGCTGAGGCAAGAGGATCAACACTAGTTTGAGACTACCCTGTTCTTCACTGTGAGTTCTAGTCCAGTCTGATCTAACAGAGTGAGATCTTAAATCAAGACAAAATAACACAACACAAAGTAAATGTCATCATGAGTTCCTTTACCGCCGTGTTTTCAACAATGTCCTTCTCTCTTCCAGAACACTCTTTGCTGCCTCCCTTCATTTTGCTTGGTTAACTCATTACTTGTTACTTTGTCCCAACCTATTAATAATTGTAATCAGAATACTCACAATAGCTCAGTTTATTAAGTGCCTACAGCAACCATATGTATTATGTCTTTACATATACAAACATGAGTCACTCAGCCTCATTAGGTGAGATACTTCTCATTATGTGTGCTATGCTGTGCATGATGCATGATCTTGTGCACTATTTAAAGCAACCCCATAATGAAGAAAGCCCAATTTCCTTCACTGTATGGATGAAAAATGCTAAGGAATACTTTGTATAACACTCTGTCACTGGGCTTTCCAATATCTCAGGTCCATTTGAGTTGTCTCTCAGATAATGCAAGGGTTAGGATGCACCCAGAGCCAGAGGTCTTTGGGAAACTGCATGGTCTTTCTATGCTTTGAATTCTTTCAGTGAAATGCACACGACAATAGCAGTTATCACACAGGATTGCTGAGAAGAACAAATAAGTTACTATCCTTGAAGTACTTTAAATAGAGCAGGCACGCATTAATTAGATGTTATATAAATATGTGCTATTATTATATGATCCCAGAGCTTCTGGCTCATTTCTTATATGAACAGGACCTTCTATCTGAATCTGAGTTGTGTGTGTGCTTTTCAAAAAACATTGACTTTGTAGGGTAAACACACACACACAAACACACACACACACACACACACACACACACACACACACACCACCACCACCACCACCACCACCACCATCATCACCATCACCACCACCACCTCATTCCCAATGTATAAAAACTTTGAAACAAATTCCTTAACAGTTGAAATGACAGCACCATAGTTTCTCAGTCTTGGCCCATAGTCAAAAAGCCCTGGTAGGTGACTTTCTCTGGCACCTTTCCCTCTGCAATGTAAGTGAAATGGCTGCTGCTGCCATACCATATAAACACAGAATCTGGACTTTTACTTTCTGAATCCCACCCACTACCTTCCATGGGACAGTGAGCCCGAAGGGGACAAGGATCTTGGCTATACTGTTCAGGCTTGTGTCCTACTACTTAAAGCAGTGCCTGGAATATAAAATGGGCTTCATAAATGTTTAATAAACATGTGAACCAATGAATGAATCCTTGTAGTCATTGAACTCCTCTGCGTGAGTTTCACCACATGCAGAAAAGAGATGACGGAGGAAGAATCACTTAGCTCCTAGCAGAATTATAATCACAGTTTACAGTAAAGACAAATACGATGGACTAACTCAGAGTGGCTGACTGCAAAATGGTGTTCATGATTTTCTGATCCTAGACGAGCTGATAAATTCCTAAGTTTCCATCATCAAATAGATGAGTGAGAAAAAGCCAAATGAGATCATGGACGTGTAACCACTCAGTAAGCAGGAGATGCTTGTGGCGGGGGTTATGAGGAAAGAACTCTCTCAGGCCATATCACTCTGAAAGTACAGTTGAGGCATTAGTTTAATAAACCTGTCATTCTCTGGGGTGTTTCATGAATGGTTGCCATCCCCACAATCCTAAGTGACTGCTAGATTCCTAGGGGATGACGAATAAATGTAGATTGTGTGAGTCATGAAGGTGGGGGGAGGAAGCGGAAAACTGTCCCCAAGTCCCTGGAAGACAAAGAGAATTGGGATGCTCAGAAAAGGTTCAGAACTTTCCAAAGAACATAAGCTAGCATCACAAACTGCTGAACCAAAGAGACCATTCCGTCTGCCCAGCACTACAACAAAGGGACAGCTCAAGTCACTTAATAAGACAGGAAAAGAGAGAAAAGCAAGTCTCATCCTATCTAGACACCAGTGACCACTTCCTCCAACAACCAGTTAGGAGTTTATTAATTCATCTGTTTATTTATTCAACAAACAGACAAGATACATACAGTCTACCCTGTGCAAGGCTCTATCCTTGGTACTTGCCAGAAAGAAGTGCAGTGTATGCACTCAGAGCTTGCAGCGGGAAAGACTGGTCAGTAGCCACTTTGTACCTTTGGTTCTAGGTTGGAATAGGCCTACTTTCCTATCCCATCATCCCTTGGTTCATTAACGAAACTATGGTAGTCAGGAAGTGTGTGTGTTTGTGTGTGTGCGCGTGCGTGCTTGAACTCACAAGCATGTACACACATACTTATATCATAACACATAGGTGGAGGCCAGAGAACAACTTCCATGACCTGGGTTCAGAGGACCAATCTCCAATTATCAGGCTTGGCAGGAAGCACTTTTACCCAGAGCTAACTCACATGTTAACTTACCAGACACAATGATTTCCAGCCCCTGTGTTGTCTGGCTGGTTTTCACAGTGGATGGAATGGAAATGATGGTGGGGAGGCAGTCTTTGTATAAGGATGCAGAAATGTCTTCCCAAACTCCTTTTCTTCCTGCTGACCAGGATACCTAAATGGTTGCTGCCTACAAAGAAAACAGAAACTTTCATTCTGCTGGCATTTTGAAATGTATTTGTTAAAACTGCTAGCACTACACTAATATTAAAAGTATTCTAGGTAAAGAGTAGAAAATAAGGAAACTCACAGAAGCATGGCATGTGCAAGGAGAGTGAATAATCCCTGTTCATTGGAGGTTGGATGTGGGAGGGAAAGAGATCAACTGGAAAGGTAATTTGGAACTGTGAATGACAGGCACAAAGTTTTAACTCTCAAGTAAACAGAGCTCTAGAGACAAATCAGATACGTGATATACATCTCATTTAATGCCAATACAAGGCTTATACTTCCCATATGGGTAATGATCACGAAAAATTGTGGGTCTTAGATAACAAGTTGTCCATGACTATTAAATTAAAAAAAAAAACATGTTCAACTGCACTTGGAACATCTGGCTGTCCATATTCGTATATGCACACAAATACACACATGTACATGTGTGTGCACATTCACATGCACAGTCCCAAAGTACTGACATGTAAACATATAAGCACACCATACACACATAGAAGCATGTTTGTGTATACACATGAAATACTGGTGTGCATGTGTGTGAAGTTGGATGCATATGCACATAAATATATTTTACACATAGAGCTTTACATTAAGCAATAGTAGGTAGTGTGTGGTTTTGTACAGAGACAATTATATAGTTATGCATTCATTTCTCAAATTGAGTCTGCTTTGACACTGACTTACACATGTTGTTAGGAGATGGGGAGTGGCGGTTTCTTTAACTATAAGACTTGCTTACTACCTATGTTCTAATGCAGCTGTGAATCCAACTCCTCTCATTTGCCTTCTAGAAGAGATTTAGTAATAGAAAGGGTCTTGTTCAAGGGAAATCAGAAAGAACTTTTTTTTTATTTTGTTTCCTTTTCCTTTCATCCTGTTCTTAAAACATGTTCCTCCACAGTGTCCACAAAGCCTCCTCAGGTGGGTTCAGAAGGTCCCCAGAGCTGCCAACAGATCTCCTCCAGTGAAAAAACGTATGCAAAAGGCCGGCTGCTACCCAGAGGGATGCGACAGATGGCAGGGTCACCGTGCCGAGCTCAGATGGCTTACCCAGGTGGAGAGGTATCAGGGAGCTGGAAGCAGAACTCTGGAAATGATTCCTGGCCCACTTCACCTTCTCACGCTGACAAGTCCACACCCTTCTGAGCTGTGAATTCTGGAGGATGCATGGTTTGATTTCTCCTAGAAATCCTGAGGTACTGTTTCAAAGGGGGACATTATGGCCACAGCACTGCACATTGTCTGCTAGTAATCACTGATGTCTAACTCAGTCGAATTTTGTTATCTTAGTGTGATGCTGACATTCAGATGGTTACCTGGAATCCACCTCTACCTGGCACATGTAAACCAACAACAGCTACCACACAGCAAAATCTCATACGCAACTGACCTGCAAGAGGAGCAGAAAGGGAATGACCAGATTCAATCAAACTTTAGCTGAAGATAGTCAACATCTTCCCTATAAAACACACCGCTTGTGGTACTTCTCTCCTCCCAAGATCCACAAGAGAAGGAGAAGGGCAGTCAGGGTGACTCAGACTGGGAAAGTCATGCTGAGAACACGTAGATCTGACCTTCGTTTTCAGAAGACAGAAATAGTAGCAAATCCCAAGGCACTAGCTTCAGCTACTTAGGTCAATGTTGGCAACCACTCAGGTTACAACACAACACTGAAGATGTTTACTGCCAGAAGGGAGGAATTCTGCTTATTCCTTACTTTTTTTTCTAGTGAGAGGCTGTCTACCACAGCTTTTCTGTGTCCCACAGTGGTATCTTGTCTCTTTTGTCACAAAAGTCACAGTGTCACAGAAACAAATAAGTAACCAACTTCCACGGTTCCAAGATGAAGAACACTTGCATAAAACTGGCCTTTGAAGAAGCTACTCAGTAACCTTGTGATGTACTTGCCTTCTCAAAGTTGAGTTGACCTTGATCCTGAACAATGTTCAGTAGACAAGGGTGAGAAAATATTGGCAATGTTTAAGAGACTTGGTATGGTTGGAACAGAATTCTTGAACTTGGAAAATTTTTGTATATATTTTTATAATTGTTTATATTTTTATGCTCAGTAGCTTTCAAGTAATCAAGTCCACAACTTGGCCATCAGTGTGACCATATTCCATACAAAGTGTTTCAAAGTCTATGCCCAGGGAAACATAAGACCTGACAAGATGCAGACTTCAGAGTCTCACTGCCTAGGCTCTGCAAATATGAAGTAGTCTCATAAATCTAAATTTCAACAAATCTCTCTGGTAACTCTTGAAACCCAACCAGAAAGCAATAATTGAGCCAAAAGCTAACTTTAATGTCAATGTTTGAAATTTTCTTTTAGGCCATAAACAGGATTGTTCTAGCACTATATTTTGCTGAAGGTAAATATTATTTGTTATGATGTAAGTTGA